TGGCTGGGCTCTAGTAGTCACATATTGCCCTGGCTCTTATTATTTGACTCCTTCTTGCTACCCATTGATAGATGAAATTTCATGATAATAATGGATTTGTTTTAATATTTAAAAGTATCTTTTATTTTATTTCCTCTAAATAGCAAGGTCCTTTGAGATATTTGAAATTAGATTTCATTTATGAAACATATGATACACCAAACTCAGACATGTTTGTGTATTTTATAACTTGAACATATATAAATGTAAGTACTGTACTATATGGGTATATGAAACAGCAATATGTACCCATTAGCATCACAAGTGTGATAGTTTGAAAAAAAGTACCTCCAAAGGGAGTGGCGTTATTAGGAAGTGTGGCCTTGTTGGACTTGGTATGTCCTTGTTGGAGGAAGTGTATCACTGTGAAGGTGAGGGCTTTGAGGTCTCATATATGCTCAAGATACTGCCCAGTGTCTCAGACTACTTCCTGTTGACTATGAGTTAAGATGTAAGCACTCTCAGCTCCTTGTCTACGACCATGTTTGCTTGCATGCTGCCTTGCTTCACACCATGTTGTTGTGTAGCACCTTGTTTGCCTGCATGCTGCTTTACTTCGCACCATGATGATCAATAATGGACTATCTGAACTGTAAGTGAGCCACCACAATGAAATGTTTTCCTTTTTAAAAATTGTTGTGGTCATGATGTCTCTTCACAGCAATAAAACCCTAACTAAGACACCAAAGAACAGAGTGTTGTGACACATAGGGTCATTAACTAAGAAGTAAATTGAGAAATAACTGCTAGACCCACTTTTCCTCTCCAGTGCCTCAGAAACATTTACTTCTAACTTGGAAGGGTCTGAGGCCTTCTCTCCTGCTTTTGCTAAGTATCTGAATTCAGCAGTTGGATCTAGAAAGAAAAACAAACATAAATTTATGTTAAAACCTTTTACTTGCTCTTCCATATCTCTGACATTTTATCTCTTATATTCCTTACTCAAATTCCTTTTTAACTGTGAGGTTGAAGACCAAATAACATCTCTGCAGAGGTACCTTTATCACCATTTTTCTGAAGTACATCCTCACTATCAGTTCCGTGCCACACTTTTTTTTTATTTAACCTATTACAAATACTGCCATCTATAATTACTTATTTGCTTATCTTATCTGTCATCTCCACTAGAATATTACACCTTCAAGAGAATTATATGATGTACTTATTTATATGTCAAGTTGAAACACAGAATATATGAATCTTTGTTGAATAAGTAAATCATTGATCCTAAAAGACACTTGTAAGTATATATGAAACTACACTTTAAAAAATTGCCAGGGAAAAGTAGCTTTGGTCACAGAGTCACCTTGGGATATACTGTTAATTTCTTAATTTTCTGCAGTGACTTGCTATTTCTGACTGACTCTAGATTCCATAACACTACCTATTGATTCTTAGAGCATGTGTGGACTATTTGTTCTGTTATTAATTGATATGTACTATCTGAGCATACATTTTAATTACATTTAAACTATGCATAATTGAGAGGTAGATAAGCTGCTATGCATGCAAATATTTGCATTCCTTAAACAACAACAAAAATAATGAGTAGAGAAAAATCAGTGAGGTGCAATTAGGAGAAGCTATTGGTTTCAGAATCAGAAATGTTTGGGTTGTATGCCTTGCTGCACAACTGATTGCCACATGGCTTCTTTGAAGCTCAATTTTCTTAACTATTGTAATACCAACTTCTTTCAGAGTTTCTGTAGAAATGTATGATGCAGAAAGCACTTGGAAGACTCTAAAAGTCTTGTTCATAGAAGGAATTACTTTAGAAAATATTTATAAAGTCAGCGTCATAATATATAAACAAGAGGTTGTGAAGATACTGCAATTCTCCTATGATCCTGGTCAGTGTGAAAGTCATTATTTCATATTTATTCAGCAAGCATGCACTGATTAATTCTATGTCTCAGGCTCTATGACTGACCCTAGAAGAATAAAGTGGATCTAGATCTACTCAGGTAGCTTGTGATCCTGTGGGAAGGATGAAATGGAATAGCAATGTGTCAGGGGAAGTGACAGGTACTTAAGGAAGGGTATCGAACCATGTTTTGAAGAAAATACATATAACCTGAAATCTAAAATATAAATAAGAATAATGAGAATAAAGAAAAACTAAAGTGCTCAGTGGCATTTCAGTTTTCATGATTTTCAGGTGGAAAATTCAGAGATTTTGAGGAAAATAGGATATATTGGTGTAGGCAATTAAAGATATAGGAGACTATGAAAGGGATGAGGTAGAGTGGAGCCAGGACCTGAAAGAGCTCAGTTAGACTTTATTATTAGGTCACTTAGTGCAAGGATCTTGGTGGATTTCAAAGCATGCTGGTGAAATGTCATTTTATTTTAGAAGAGTAGCTAAAAGTGCGTTATAGAAAGCAATCAGGTAAGAATGGGACTAAGATTATTGATTGGGAGGCTGATTGCAGAGCCTAAGCAGGAGATGGGAAGGTCTGTTTTTAGTTATGCAGTGGCGCTGCCCCTCCTGGCTGGCCATTATGCCACGGCGCTGCCCCTCGTGGCTGTTCGCCGCCTGCGGCGACCATGCCATCAGAGCAGCGTGCTGATTAAAAGAATCATAGCCATGGTTACCTTTTTAGAGCTTTATTGGAGGGGAGGAGAGAGAGAGAGAGAGAAACAGAGACAGAGAGACACAAAAGGGGGGGAGGGAGAGAGGGGAGCTGACAGGAGGAAGGAGCAGAGAGGAGAGGGGACAGAGAGCCCACAAAGGGCTCACCCTCTTTTGAGATTGGGAAGCCAGCAAAGGCTGATGACGTAATTAAGGATCAAATCCTTACATTTCAGACTTTCCCTTATTATAAAAAAAAAGCAGGTAGATGGGATTAGCGGCGTTGTTCCTCTCAAAAACTGCTTCCAGCTGACTTTTGGATGTTGGTTGGCTCTCGGGGGAATGGAGAAGGGGAGTTTTCCGAGGTAGACAGGCATTGTGGGATGCTGTCTGTCATCCGTTTGCTCTGGAGACATGTGTCCCTCTTGGCTGTGGCTGGGAACTGTCTGTTTGACAAGATGCTGGTGACATAGAAAAAAACTTAGAGAGATAAAAGAATCATTATTATTTTTGGAGTTGGCATTTAGCTGAGGTAGATCTGGCCTGCCCCTATGGATTTTGAAACATGTTAAGCTTTATCAGAGACAGATTATTTTAAAACACCTGTTTCCTTTATTAGTTTGGCATCCAGGAGACAGGTGATCAATTGTTAAAAGCATCTCACAGTAATAGATATAATAAACATATTAATATAATTAATTATATTATTATATATTATATTATATTATATTATATTATATTATATTATATTATATTATATTATATTATATTATTATAATTAATATAATAAACATATTAAAGTCTTTTTGTAGCACCCAAACGCTTTTGGGCCTGGGGGTGTAAATACCTTTTAGCTGTTACAGTTTTTTATTTGATGATCTCTGGACTTTGGTTCTGTGGTGGTCCTGTACCATTAGCTGAACAGTGAGTTAGAAGAGGGAACTGGGAAGAGAAAAGCTTGTGGTACATTAGAATTTTGTTTTTGTTTTTGTTTTTTTTTTTTGGAATTAGAGACAAGGCAAATATCAGGGTCCTGTCTGTATGCATGTGAGAAACACAGGCAGTGGATCTGGAGTGAAGCAATGAGCTCTTATTTTAGGTGGAAATCTTTTTTCATTAAATAACTCTGAAAGTGCAATTAAATCCGGTGAGGTGGTATCCCAAAACTCCCAGGACTGAGTCAGTGGCTCTGGTGTCCAGAAGGAAAGAAACGGATCGTTTCCTGCTGCGTTCTGGGTTCCCTGCCATGTCTGTAGCCAAGCCTAGGTCTGCTGGAGGTCTTAGCTTGATGTACCCATGCATCTTGGTGCCTGGGGGCAGCCAGCTGACTCTGTATTTCTAGGCAGCACTTTTAACAAGGCTGTTGATGGCTTGGTGGGGCATTCGCTAGCCCGTGGCCTTTCCTCACTTAAAACAGGGAACCAACAGCTTTTGGGAGTCAGCAAGTGCCAGCACTTGGCAATTTTGTTTTCAGGCTTTTATCTCTTCCCTGGCACACCTTAAATGCCACAGATGACTCTTTTGCCCGTGGGGTCAGGAGCCTTGCTCTCCAGATGCTTAAGTTTTAGTCAGGGAGGTCTGGGGAACAAGAGACTGATTTTACTCCATATTCTGAACTTTTTTTTTGATGATTGGTGGCTTAAGGACAGCTTTTGGAAGACTTGTCTGAGGCTATAAGCTGATTTTTTGGCTTAAGAACCATCCTGACTACTGTAAATTTATTTGTATGGTTCTTGGCCTCTTCCAGACCCGTATGTGTTTCCCAAGGCAGTTTGAGAATGAGTGGGTGGAGTTAAGGTGAGTTAGGGCGAGTCATAGAAACCACCCAAGCCTGCCCACTTAAGCCCGCCCACTGCCGGTGGAAGTCAGACGAAAAATGTTGCACGTGGAGACACAGAAGTGGGGAAGGAGAAGGGTTTAGTTAGAACTTTAGTAGAAAGCTGGGAGATAAAGTAACTCTTATTTGTCCGTTCACTAGCAGAAGTTCCTGCAACTCTGTTATGGGGCCAGGTTTATGCCACTATGTGGCCATGTTTACCAGTGCCCGTCCCTATCCACCAATGTATCCGCCCCTTTGTCCCATGACTGTAGCTGAGAGAGAAAAAAAAATTAAAATAACAAACTGGGATTAGACTACAATCTTGGGCGTCCCCAAAGAGTAGAGAGAGATCCATGAATCAGCTCAACTTCGCCATCCTCTTTGTCAAGGGATGCGAAGGGCTGCAGCTGCACTGCAGTTGGTCCACCCGGTAGACCAGGGCAGCATTTACTTTCTCATCAGAAAGGAAAATGTGCCATTGCTAGTGCAGCCCAAGGACAACCCCTGGGGTGTCCGTCGCAAAGAATATAGCTCAGACTACAGCTGCGAGAACGGCGGACTTACTGTGGTGAAGAATCATGGCGGTAGTGGTGGGGGTCCAGCGGAGGCAGCAAGGGATGCGCGCACGCTCGAAGTCTCACGGTCTCGCTGGATGGGGGAAGGGCAGCAGTAGTTACAGCGGGTCCTTGGTGTTTGGTGGTGTATCCGAGTCACGGCACCAGTGGTAGTTATGCTGCAGCGCTGCCCCTCCTGGCTGGTTGTTATGCTGTGGCGCTGCCCCGTGGGCAGTGACCATGCCGTCGGAGCAGCGTGCTGATTAAAAGAATCATAGCCATGGTTACCTTTTTAGAGCTTTATTGCGGGGGGAGGGGAGAAAGAGAGAGAGAGAGAGAGAAACAGAGACAGAGAGACACAAAAGGGGGGGAGGGAGAGAGGGGAGCCGACAGGAGGTTGGAGCGGAGAGGAGAGGGGACAGAGAGAGCCCATAAAAGGCTCACCCTCTTTTTAGGCTGGGAAGCCGGCGAAGGCTGATGACGTAATTAAGGATCAAATCCTTACACTGTTAGCAGTGTGGATGAAGAGGAATTTATTCGATTAGCTTAGTGAGAGGAAAAGAACCAGGCTTTAGACTATTGATAGAATCTCAGCTATAGACTTGAAGCCATTACAAAGTTAATCAGGGGGCAGAAACTTTTTAAAAGTTTTATATTTGGGGGGAGTGAGCTCATAGGAGCAATAGAAATGGGGTGAGAGTCATCCTTAAATATTTCAGTGATACTTAGGAGAAAAAAATCACATGCATAAGAAAGTTTTGGTTATTTTCATCAGAGAAGCTGGTTTAGAAAAGTTTTACTCTGTGTTGAAAATATTTGCATATTTAATCAAGAAATCAATTCACATCAGTGAAATTATAAAAACTTTTCAAACTATCACAACATTGTTTCACCTAAGGCTGAGTAAAAGATTTTCTGCTGAGACTTATAAAGCAAGCAAACAAACAAAGAAAAGCAGAGATGCATTTCTCTCAAAGCCAGAGGATGGGGAAAACAAGGTGAAAATGCATCTGGTGTAAGGAGAGGACTTTGGCCATTTCTTCCCTTGAAAAGAGGCAGATGGACAAAAGAGAATGAACTCTTTCATTACATGGTACAAGAGTCACTACCCATTTCAGTTAACAAGGACTATGGTGGGTCCAGCCCCTCAATAGCCCTCTCCAAGGGTCTAGGAAGAATGTAATGTTGGTTAAGCGGCAGCCATGCTGACAGAGCAAAGTGCTGGATGTATCAGTGACAGAAGAGTCTCAAGCCATAGTTACCTTTTTAAAGCTTTATTGGGAGAGAAAGGAGGAGAGAGAAACAGAGAAATAGAGAAACTGTGCGGAGGGAAGAGAACGGAAGGAGAGAGTGCAGAAAGGAGAATGCACAGAGGGCACACCTGCTTTTCAGGCTGGGACACCACCACAGGCTGGTGATGTAATTAAGGACATAATCCTTACATCTACAACTAGCTGGTAACCTAATCTTTGATGATATTAAATGAATCTATGTATGCAAAAGTCTTAGTTCATTTGCTTTATTTTTCTGAGTCAGTTCTCTCTCTACACAGCTTTTGTTCTGTTCTCACACTGAGCTCCTCTCTGTCTCTTCTCTTCCTTTTCTTGCATTGTCCTAGTTCTAAGCTCTTTCCATCTCAACCTCATCTTTGTCTCCAACCATTCCTTCATTCATCTTCATCCCTTTCTCTTCTACTCTCCTGACCTAACTCAATCCATCTACAATCTGCAAAAACTCTGCCTTGATGCTTTCTCCTCTGACTGGGCCACATTGCTCCAAGCTGGGAAACCTGCCTCATTCCTTCACTGTTCCTGGTACATAAAAAATCCTTTTGTTCTGAGTCAAGTGCTCTGGAATGCCACTTGGCCTGTGAAAGCAAGGAGGGTCTGAGCTTCATTTGCATAAGAAACAAAGCTATGCACTTAGCCTTGCCTGTCTCCTAGGTGGTATTTACATTAAGGTGTAAGTTCAGGAGACTGTTTGCCATTATGGCCTAGGATGCTTGAGAAGTATTTCAGGTAAAATACTGAAATAAAATTTCTTGGAGGCATGCATAGCATAAAAGAAAATCATTGCAGGAACTGGCTAATACATGTATAAAAGCTAAAATATTACCAAGACTCCTTAAGCCATGGCTTGACCTTTGGAAAAGTCCTTGACCTTCCAGTTAGTAGCTTTTTTCATAATAGCTGAATTCTACTACATTTTCCTGCAACTTGCATCAATCTGCCAGCATTGTTTTTCTATGATGGTATTAACACATTCATGAGAAATGACCCCTTAGAGTTAAACACTCTCCACTAAACATATATCCCAACACCACTGCATTGGGAAGTAAGTTTTCTATACAAGATTTTGGTAGTAAACATTCAGATCACAGAGAACACAGAAAATACACTTAATGCTAAAATTCTTAAAATTATTTATTCTTTTATTTGAATAAGTAAAACTTACTAAGACTTACACAAGCAAAAATCTTTATTGTAAACATGATCTTTTATGCAGGATTGTGGGTTTTAAGGGATTGAGGGTCTGGAATAAGATTTCTTTTTTGACACTAATATCTGACTTACAAGAGGCTTGTTTGAAGCCTTGCTCTCCAGATGCTTAAGTTTTAGTTGGGGAGGTCTGGGGAACAAGAAATGGATTTTACTCCGTGTCCTGAATTTTTTTTTCTGATGATTGATGGCTTAAGGACAGCTTTTGGAAGATCTGTCAGTAGGCTATAAGCTGATTTTTTGACTTAAGAGCCATCCTGATTATTGTAAACTTATTTGTATGGATCTTAGCTGCTTCCAGACCTGTCTGTGCTTCTCAAGGCAGTTTGAGAATGAGTGGGTGGAGTTAAGGTGAGTTAGGGCGAGTCATAGAAACCACACAAACCTGCCTATTTAAGACTGTCCACTGCTGTCAGAAGTCAAACAAAAAAGGTTGCATGTGGAGACTCAGAAGTGGGGAAGGAGAAGGGTTTAGAACTTTAGTAGAAAGCTTGAAGATAAAGTAACTCTTACTTGTCCGTTCACTGGCAGAAGTTCCCGCAACTCTGTTATGTGGCCAGGTTTACTGGTGCCCGCTCCTATCTGCCAATGTATCCTCCCCTTTGTCCCATGACTGTAGCCGAGATAAAAAATAAAAAATTAAGGGGCTGGAGAGACGGCTCAGTGGTTAAGAGCACTGGTTGTTCTTCCAAAGGTCCTGAGTTCAATTCCCAGCAACCACATGGTGGCTCACAACCATCTGTAATGAGGTCTGGTGCCCTCTTCTGGCCTGCAGGCAAACATGTAGGCAGAGCACTGTATACATAATAAATAAATCTAAAAAAAAAAATTAAAATAACAAACCGGGATCAGATTACAATCTTGAGCATCCCCAAAGAGTAGAGAAAGATCCATGAATCAGCTCAGGTCATGAGTCCTCTTCGTCAAGGGATCTCGTGAGGGCTGCGACTGTACTGCAGTTGGCCCACCCGGTAGACTAAGACAGCATTTACTTTCTCATCAGAAATGAAAATATGCCTTTGCCAGTACAGCCTGAGGAGAACCCCCAGGGTGTTGTTGCAAAGAATATAGCTCAGACTACGGCCGCAAGAACAGCGGACTTACTGTGGTGAAGAACCATGGTGGTAGCAGTGTGGAGGTCTAGCAGAGGCGGCAAGGGATGCGCGTGGTCTCCCTGGATGGGGGAAGAGGCAGCAGCAGTCACAGCAGGTCCTCCGTGCTCAGTGGTGTATCTGAGTCTGAATGGCACCAATGTTGGTTATGAAACAGTGTTGCCCCTTGTGGCTGGTCACTGCCATGCCGGGGGAGGAGCATACTGATTAAAAGAATCATAGCCATGGTTACCTTTTTAGAGCTTTATTGGGGGAAGGGGAGGGAGAGGGAGAGGGAGAGAGAGAGACAGAGAGAGACAGAGAGAGAGCGAGAGGAGGGAGGGAGAGAGGGGGGCCGACGGAAGGAAGAAGAGGAAGGGAGAGGGGACAGAGCACCCACCCGCTTTTTAGGCTGGGACACCGTAGAAGGCTGATGAAGTAATTAAGGAGCAAATCCTTACATACATGATGCCTAAATTCACATTTTGCTTCCTTAATAGCCTGCCAAGATGCTTTACTTTTACTTTCCAGTTATTAGCACTTAAAAATTAAATTATTTTTCTCATATTCTTGGATTTCTAGCTTTTTTTTTTTTTTAGAAAGTTTTGAAATCTAACCTCATTTTCCTTTAAAAAAGTCAGTAGGAGTCTAGTTTCAGTACATGGTGATTATTATTGTCTTTGTTATATTTCTGCTACTGTGACAGTACCCAGATAGAAGCACCTTTAGGAAAGAAGACTGTTTTATTTTGTTTTTTTCTCACAGTTTCTCCTGTTGGTTTGGAAAGTCATAGTGGCGCCAGTTTGCAGCAGCTGGTTATACTGTGCCCCGGCCAGCGGGGTCTTCAACAGGGAATGAGAGGGACAAGAGACACAAAGAATGAGAGAAAGACAGGACGTCTGATCAAGCTCCAAAATTTTATTTTTCTCTCAAGGCATATATAGGTAGGCAAAGGGGGTTGAGAGCAGGAAGGGACTTAATTATGGGCTGTTCAGCCAGCAGGAAATGTTGCTCTCGGGGTTATCTATCTACTTTTGCCTAACTGCCTAGTTGCTTAACTGAAACTCATTCACCTGATATCTGAGAAGAGGTTCTGGTATCTGTGAGAAGAGGTTCTGGTGTTATGGAGACTTAAACAAGGCCTAGATCTAAGAAAAGAGGAGAGAACCCCAAATATGGCAGCATGTGTGTCAAGGGTCACTTAGGCTTATGGCTCCCATCAATACTGATCTCATAATCAAGAAACAGAGGAAGGTGAATACACACTGTGTTCAGTTCCCAATCTCATTTACACAGTTCAGGATCCTGGTCAGAGAATGGTCCTCCCACAGTGGTCAGGTCTTTTCATGTCAATTAATGCAATCAAAATAATTATACACAGGCATACTCAGACTTCAGTCTCCCAAATGAGTCTATGTCAAGGTGCTAACACTAACCATCATAAGCATTATAAAGTATAGTTGCTCACATATATTGCTGAAGACTAGTTTCAATTGCCATTGGTACTGAGTATTTTTTCTAGAATTTTTTTTTTAAAATAAAGCTAAAAAGGAGCATTTTTATTTACTATGTATTCATATTTCTGCACTGTTTAAGTAATCCATAGGGGCTGTATATTTGGGGGAAAATGAGAGAAAAAAACCTTTTGAGGCTTGAAAATTTTTTATTTACATGAATCTTTTGGCCTATTAAGTTTTTTATATTGGTTCAACTTTCTTGTTTTGCTTATTATAATTTCAGAATGAAAGCTCAGAAAAACCCAAAATAAAGGAACAGGAATTTTTCAAAGTTCCCAGTGAACTAAAAGAAGAGTAGAGATCAAAAGTAACTGAGTTAATGAAACAGGTGAAGGTGTTGGACACAGGTTTCTGCCTAAGTTTCAAATAAATGCAGCGACTCACACATGCAGGAAGCATGGCTGCCAGAAAGCCCGCCCTGGTGGCAGAACACAGCAGTCCACAGAAGCAGAAAGAAAGGCCTTTGTATTTTCTTTTTGCTAAACTGTGCTTGCTTCTGTTTACTCTCTTTTGGCAGATATTATATTTTAAACAAAACAAAACAAAACACCTCTCCAATGTAGCACACCTACTAACTTATTTATAGTTAGCCTACAACTGGGAATGACTGCTTTTGGTGAGTCATCATCCCTCCCCGACAGAGGCATAGTCCTTGTAATGAAAATGATGGAAAGGTAGGCCATTTCCAGCTCCACTAGAGGCTCACAAAGTTACTGGGTCATTTCCCTCTACCTGAAAATCCCATGAACATTAACTGGAATAATCCTCTCAGGGTCCTGACTGTTGACAACTAGGGGAAGAAAGAGAAAATTGATAGATAACCTGTAAAAACTGAAATGGAGCAGACAGCCCAGTTTTCTTATAGGTTGCATGTTTCAAGGCCTTGTGCTTCCTGAAGAATTCTGAACATCATTAACAGGGAGACACACTGCCAGAAAAGGGATCCTGGCAGAAATCTGTCTTAGATATGGCTTAGCTCAATAGATTTCTGGTTCAGAATATCTCTATAAAACTTGTACTTTTGTGTGATTGCTGAGCATAGAATGAACGTTCTAAAAATTGGTGGTTTTAAATAAATAAGCATTCATATTGATTTGGTACCCATTTGTTCAAATATATAAGGCCCAGGGGGTAAATTCATACCTGATTAAAATTTTGGTCATGAGCAAATTTTCAGTCATGTTGAAGCCACCAACATCTCTCAATACTGATTGATTGTTTAACTTGTAGAAATAGAATTAGGCATCCTAGGTTAGCTTAGGCTAGAAAATGCTTGTGTTGACATTTTGAAGATTCTTGAAATCTATGACTGGATTTCATTTCAGTGGGAGTCTTATGGTGGTAGAAGCAGCAGACTCTGTAAACAAAGAGACAGAATCACTTTATAATGTCACTGAACTTAGTATCCTAAATACCTGTCGCAACTCTCCCTCATAGCTGTGGTGATATATTGTGAACCCTAATAAACTTGCTTGGTGTATCGAGCACATACCCCGGTATGGGGGAGGAATAATCACTCTTGATTCAGACGTGGTATAACACTCATTTATTCACACAGTGAAATTACAAGCAATATTCATCCTGTCTTCCAAATGGAAGCAGGAGTACCTCTCCAGGTGTATAGGTCCGGACTTACCACGTCTGTTCCTCTGGATCTTGGGTCAGCCTTCCTCAGGTCAGCCACATCTGCACTGGGGACAGGATCTCACATCTCTGGCAGAGGAGAGTCGTCTTGCGCTAGGGACTGACGAGCTCTGTTGGTCAGGTCTGAGGCTTCATCTTTTTTTTTTTTTTTTTTGGGGGGGGGTTTTCGAGACAGGGTTTCTCTGTGTAGCTTTGCGCCTTTCCTGGGACTCACTTGGTAGTCCAGGCTAGCCTCGAACTCATAGAGATCCGCCTGCCTCTGCCTCCCGAGTGCTGGGATTAAAGGCGTGTGCCACCACCACGCGGCAAGGCTTCATCTTTTATATTCTTTCCTGGCTGGGTTTCTAGTCTTATCCCTACTTCCACACATAGCTTATAGCTTATCACTACTCCATCCATGGTTTACTTACATCATTCTATTGTTTATCACTCCTGACCAGGGTTGTTCACCCTAGGCCTTTCATGTGTTCTTCACACTTGGGGATCAGACAACAGAGCCAGCCACTAGATTAGACTAGATTATCCAGATAGTGGTGACACAAACCCTTAATCCTATTACTCAGGAGGCAGAGATGTGTCTGGATCTCTCTGAGTTCAAGGCTACACTGGAAACAGAGCCAGGCAGTGGTAGCACACAACTTTTATCTCAGTACTGGGGAGCACACTCCCAGGAAGTGGGCAGAGAAAGGTATATAAGGCACGTGGAAACAGGAACTCACTCTCTGGAGTCTGAGAATGTCATAGAGGTAAGAATGTTGCTGGCTTATTCTGTTTCTCTGATCTTTCAGCTTTTACCCCAATATCTGGCTCTGGGTTTTTTATTAATAAAACCTTTTAAAATTTGTGTTACCCATAGCTCCTGGGGCTGGGTTCAAGGAGAAAAGATTTAGCAAGTAGAATTATTGCATCTTTTTTTAATGCTGTCCCTTTATCTTCTATGTTGCTTATCATTTATTTATGGACTTAATTAATCTAGGTTTATATGAGAATTTCTCTAAGTGTTCTGTACAGTGATTAAAATGTCTGCCTTAGAATCAGCTTTTATCTAGATCTCTGCTCCAATATGCACAATCTAGATGACTTTGGATAGTTTACTTGATGTTTCTAAATTTTATATTTTAAAATAAAATGTTAATATTCTAAATACTTAAATATTCTAAACTTTAGAATAGTCTATTAGTGCTACAAAGGACACAATGGAAAATTAGAAAAGGAGAATTAAATGGGGACAGGTGGGAGGGCAAGATATGAAAGAGAATATGGGGAGGGACAACTAATTCTAAAGGCATTTTGAAAAGCCGTATGGAAATCTACTATTGTAGAAGCTTTCTAAAAGATATCTTTATATGTGTATATATAAAAGGAATTTAAATGCAGTTACCATATAATGGACAAGACAATACTTCAACTAGATATCATATGCTACCAAATAAAAGTACCACTACCCGGAATGGGTCATATTTTTTTGTGTTGTTGGTCAAATGGCTCCTATAGATACCTCCCAAACATTACAGGATACTGCTAATACTATTGGTTATTCTCTACAACCTGATGGTAAAACCATATTGCTAATAATGCCATATACTTACGTCACCAAACATGAAGAAATTGAGCTGATGTTCAACTTGGAGTTTGACCCCTACTGACTAGCATTCATAGTGCTACATGGTATCAGAGGAAAAAAGTAATTATTAATCTCACCCAGCTATGAACCCTGAGAATTACAATAGCAACCTTCCTGAAATATATACTCATTGGCACATTAGTGGCACAGATATTATGGGAGTAGCTGATCAATTTTTTTTTTTAAATTGGATATAAGGACCACTCAATTTTTTAAAAACTGGACAATGTGCAAAGAATGCGAGTTTTTGGAGTACTAAACCTTAAACAGGATGCCTCTGTCACACCACACTGCTCAAATCTCAGGCATCTATGTGAAAGAGGAGGCAGAAAGATTGCAAGAGCCAGAGGTGGTAGATGACTTCAAGGAAATAGCATTTTCCAGACACAATATAGTCAATGCACATATAAAAGCAGGGAGACTGGGATAACATACACAATATCTGTACAA